AGCCCTGTTAACCAGACGGTTTGCACTCTAACTGAAAGAAAGCCAGGTTCTTAAAAATTTGTTGAAGCTGATTAATGATTCATCTAGATATTACAGAGTGCTGATTTAGTGCACCAGAACAGTGAACAATTAGGAAAAAGTATCACCAGCTTCACCTGACTAAAAACGCAAAGATTATACTACATTTTTTTTCAAATTCTGCACAAATGTTTGGCAATTAGCTACCCCCTATATTGTCTAGAGACAATGATTTTAAATCCCCACTTCCAAAAAAATCAACAAATTGTAAGTTTTAAGATTTCATAAATAATAAAGATACAGATGCTGCAGTATACTTTGTTATTGAGTTAGGGAGTCTTAATTGCTCTGCCTGTTTCAGAACATTATGGAGTTATCAGGCGTATACCACTAGTGCAGCAGTTTATATATAGCCTTAGGATTCCCTTTGTTTTCTCCTGGGATCTTTTCTAAATCGGATAAAAATGCAAAGTTGATTCCAAAGCACTCATAATCTTTTATCAGCATGAAAAAGAAACAGCTTTGTTTTAGTAACGAAGGCATGCAGCTGAGAAGTTACATCACTGCATGGATTATTGACTTGTACATGTTGCATATAAGTTTTATAACATAACTTGTAAAAGTTTGATATACAGTTTCTGATCGTTTAAATACACAACAGATATATAATAAATGTGTTTCTTACAGTATTTTAAATATATGTAACAAAAAATCTTTGTGGTCTTTGCCTGTAATATCACCTGGGTTAGCTATTACAGCAAATACTGTAATGATCCCCCTGTAATATCCAGTGGGGTGGTTATTACAATAAATAAAGTACTTTAACAGTTCCTGCCTGTGTAACACCATGCAGCCTGAACGATTATTACAAGGGATGCAGGCCCGAACTTCACTAAAGTTCCTTAAATTTTGGAAATTCTTTGAAATTTTTACTTAATTTTTTTCTTTAAATCCAATATTGCTACTTGATATGGAACGATCATGATTTAAGGAGTTGTTTAATTTAAGTTTAAGGAACTTTCATGAAACTAGAGGCAGTTATGATCCCTCCTTACAATATCCAATTGGTGATCACTACAACACATACAGTAACAGTCTGTCCAGTTGGATAATTATTACAACACATACAGAAATGTTCCCCTTTTTCGTCCTGGTAATGTACAGACCCAGTAGACATCTAAGGCTGGTGACTAATTTTCTCGGGGGAATTGTGATCAGCTAGGGACTTTCTGACATTAACGGGAGCTTGACAGTGCTATTACTACACTAATAGTCTGGCTGGGCTCAACAGTTGGCTAGGATAAGTCAGTGTGTTTTGGAAGGGGATACATTTAATGGAACATCTTAGTAGTTAACCCATTATCGGTGTCCTTGCCCCATTTCAATCCCCTTCCACCTGCTTGATTACAGAAATATGCAAGTAAAACATGGTAGCTTAGTCCTTTCACCCCTATGTAACTTTAGTAAGACTCTACCATGCATTGATCTGGATGAGTCCATTATGGTCTTCAGNGTAGGTAACTATAGTAGAGTCTACCATGCATTGCTCTGGATGAGTCCATTATGGTCTTCAGTGGTGAAAGGGTTAGACAGATTCAGATGAGTTAGCATTTAAGTTAAGTTCTGTTAAGCATGCATAGTTAGTTTAGACAGAATCAGTAGATATAGCACTAGTTTAGCTCAGTTAAACATGGTTATAGTTAGTTGAGACAGAACCAGTAGCTATCTGTATAGCTCTAGTTTTTATCAGTTTAGCATGGCTATAGCTTAGACAGAACCAGTAGCTACAGCACTAATTGATTTCAGTTAAGCATGCAGGTAATTAAATAAGCTTAGACAGAACCAGTAGCTATAGCACTAATTAAGTTCAGTTAAGCATGGTTAGCATAGACAGAACTAACAGATCTGAGTGCTCTAGCTTTGCTGTTGCTTGTAAAGAAGAGTTTGGCATTTTCCTGACTCACTCCCCGGACCTTTTGATTACAAAGCAGGGAGCTTAAACACTGCTATTATCATTGTAATACTTTTCTGCAACATTACAGGGGATAATTTTCAAAATGCTTTAACTCGATCCCTGCAAAGGCAAGTGACCTACAAAAGTCTTTGTATAATTGTTGATGGACTAACACAAATGACCGTAAATTCACATTTTATGCCCTGTGTATACAGTCGGAAAGTGGGGGGACACTCTACTATAAGAATGGCTCTCTCTATAGACAAAACCCTGTAAGATGCAGAGAATGTTTCAAGAATATGTGTGAAAGACAGAAAGATTGTACTAGAAAGTTATAGGCACTGGAGGAATATCCGAACCCTCGCCTTGAGTGAATTTTCTAAAAATTCCACATACAATATGAAAGAGTAATTTTCTTGCATGTCTAAATATCTTTCAAAGAAATGATGTACAAGGCTAACTGGTCCTGATGACAGTTTACCTTAAGCCATCCGAAACATGTGAACTAGTAAATATTACATGTACACAATCCTTGGTGTTGATGTTCCATCACTTATCTAACTTATAAGTCTAAATTTAGTCACAACATATAAAACCTAATTATGAGATTAACAGAAATCTTTGATATTACATATAAAATATTCTAAAATTTTCTAAATTTTTCAACACAAAATCAGGATTTAAAAACATATTTTCCAGCAAAATACATGTTAAGTTAAGAATACACTAGTTAAATTAATTTTATCTATCAATCAAAATTTTAGCAAGTAGATTTGTTTGCCTCTCTGGGGAAATACAATATCAATAATCACCAATATATCCACAAAATAGCCTTAGTCCGCCATGCATCATTGATTGTTTGCTTCTAGCAGTATCTGTTTTCAGTATTACTTTATGTGTATCATATTTGATGAAAAGAACACAAACTTTTGCAAGTGAGTTTCCAATTTAGCATATATATGTTTTAATTATTACTTGCAAAACTTTACTAGCTGGCTAAAATAGTTAGTTTCTACACACTGTATAATACTAAGAAATTTCTCATATTTTTCTCTGCTATATGATTCCATGCTGACAGGCTTGAAGCTTTGCGATAAATTATTCCTACAGGAGGTTTGAGGAGGGTCTACTTTCAAAATGAAGGCCGGGTCTCAGGATTTACCTTGCCCCTACATGAGTTAAGTCTATAGATAGGTACACAACCATAAGTTACCTTTTAGTTAACTGAACAAAATGCATAACAAACATAACAGGTGAAAATTCTTTCACCAAATGTTTACTTCTGCGGCAGCTTCATATTATTTGCCCCGAGTCCTCTTCATATTATTTGCATGGAGTCCTCGAGTCCAAAACCGATTTTCATTATTCTGGCAATTATAATTACCCTTAGAACTTTCTGTATTATGGTATTTATGTAAACGCCAGAATTTCTGTGAAACTGGAATTTTAGACATAAGGTTTTATATCCTTTAAATATTGTAATACATGCAGAAAGACAGCTTTCTAAGTATAGAGGATAAAGGCTCAGTTTAGATAAATTGGAGCATGAAGAATCTGTGTTATCAACATACAGAACCAGCCATTAGTACAGATGGCATTCTAGTTTCACATCAAAAGAGGCCCACATGGCCCGTTTTTGCTGTAAACCCCTGCTGTTTTCACAACATGTGTTTATATGTGAAGGCACTGACCAGTGGTAATATCACTATGGCGAGTAGGGTGTGTGGGTGAGGGTGTTGGGGAGGGGAGGGGTGTCAGATTCCTGCAGTGAGAGTGAGGTCAAGGTATATGTTGGGTCTATAGATTCCTCCGGTACCACTGAGGTCAATACAGGTTATCTCACAATCAACTGATACATTGTCTACATCTACTTAGATATGGGACGGATGCAATCAATCTTCGTACTGTGTTGTTAGGGACACTACATAGAAACCATATGTAAGGAACAGCTTCCCATGAAAGCTTTTAGAAACATTGCACTTATTTCATTAGCCAATACATGCCTACAGACACCTCCGCTAATGACTACCATTATGTTCATTTGTCTTAATTTAAAATCCAACTTAAATTAAAATTGATAACAAACTTATCAGGTCTAATAAGCAATATTTATAACAAACTCACCAGGTCTTATAAGCAATTTTTTTATAACAACCTCACCAGGTCTTATAAGCAATTTTTTTATAACTAACTCACCAGGTCTAATAAGCAATATTTATAACAACCTCACTATATCTAATAAGCAATTTTTATAACAACCTCACCAGGTCTTATAAGCAATTTTTTTATAACTAACTCACCAGGTCTAATAAGCAACTTTTTTATAACAACCACACCAGGTCTACTAAGCATTTTGTATAACAAGCGCACCAGGTCTAATAAGCATTTTTTATAACAAACTCACCAGGTCTAATAAGCAATATTTATAACAACCTCACCAGGTCTAATAAGCAATATTTATAACAAACTCACCAGGTCTAATAAGCAACTTTTTTATAACAACCACACCAGGTCTTATAAGCAATTTTTTTTATAATAACCTCACCAGGTCTAATAAGCAATATTTATAACAACCTCACCAGGTCTAATAAGCATTTTTTTATAACAAGGCAATTTTGTTAGACCCTTAAACACAGCCTTCAAGTAATTGTATTGACAATATTTATTTCGGACCACCTATTGGTGAAAACATTTAGCATGTAAATATTAGGAAAAAGTATCACCGGCTTCACCTGACTAAAAAGGCAAATATTATACAACAGTTTTGTTCAAATTCTGCACAAATATTTAGCAATTAGCTACCCCCTATATTGTCTAGAGAAAATGATTTTAAATCCCCACTTCCAAAAAATCAACAAATTGTAGATTTTAAGATTTCATAAATAATAAAAATACAGATGCTGCAGTTATATTGAAAATTCAGTGCAACACGTTTTGTTCTGTGTAATGAATAACGTCAACAAAACAACATTCAAGAACAACAACAAAACGACAACAGTGACGACGCGAAACAACAGCCATTACATACCTGTGCCCTCACAGCAGCCAATTGCATGTTAGCTATTCGTATTTCGTTTCGTTTTCGACACATATCTTCTTGTGTCTCATAAACTTTTGCGTACAGGTGATTGGCTAAGTTTCTGAAAGTGAAGAGGAAAGACAAGATTACACTGATGTCATGCAAGACTCACCTCCGTCTCGTGTTGCCCTCCACGGGCATGCTGGTCCGATTCTGGTGAGGTGTGTTTTAAACTACCAGGTCGCTTTTTACTGCTTCCCTTAACACTAGATGACCGTTTGGCCGAGTCACTTTTGCGAGCTTTTGAACTTCCCCCCTTTTCTGAGCGGGACATCTCCTTGGGCATGTCTTTGCTACTACTTTCAGCGCGTGGCGAAGCGAGATCTTTAGAGAGAGTTCCCTTGTTGTGATGGCTAGAGGTATCTGGCAAGTCTTTCGGGCGCGTGTACATTTCCGTTACTATACCACTGTCTTTGCTTTCCTGTTTGTGCATCTGCCGGCGAATCTTGTCCTCGTGTCCCCCGTCTCTAGTCATAGAAGCCTGGCGTTGAAGCTGACTGTCTCGCGTCTTACCATGCCCTCCTCCTACTTTTTTATGTTTTACACCCGAGGAGGATGACGACTTTGAGCTAGCTGACTGATGATTTGGCCTTTCAGATTCGTATGTTGGCATATTCTTAACCCAAATTTTCACAAAAACTTGTGTATTTCCTTTAAAAGACACATTCACATGTATGTAGAATAAATTTCACAAACTTCGAAAAATATTGACAGCATTGTGACAGCACAATAAAAAAACCAATTTTTCCCTCAAACAGCACTGAACTGTTTGATTGCTACAGGTAAGTATTCCAATCAAAGCACCTGAGTTTGCAGGTGAGATAAATATATATAAGTACCAGGTAATTTTCCAACGGCATCACACATCAATACTTGGCCTAAGAGCCATGCTGTGGGGCTAATCTCCCGTAGGGTATCAGTGGCTGTTGTTGTATACGATTATGTCCTCGCACTCATTATCCATCCACACACGGGTCTCCACAACAAATACTACTAAAACCCTTCTTTATAAATAAACTGATCCTAAAGCTACAAGCACAGGATTGCATAAGGAAGATATTTTTACATCCCAGCCAGCCTAACAGAGCCAGAGGTAGTTTATCAATGATCTCGAAAATGAGTGTGTCTCAATGTTTGTTGTACATCTATCTCCACAAGCACCGAGGAGGAGAGTGTAGCCAGCCTGGTGCTGTCAGTGGTGTGTCAGCCGGTGGTGTACTAGCCTGGGGTAGCTACAGCAGGTACAGCTATTTTGGGAACACCCCCTTCTTAGTGATGTATTGTGGAGTAGATGACTGCATGCTGTCCATATGTACTCAGTTATACACACAGCCAGCTCACCACCGTACATTGCACAACCTCCGCCCTGTGAAACCTGCCCATATCCTACCTTACAGGGGACAACCTCCGCCCTGTGAAACCTGCCCATATCCCACCTGACAGGGGACAACCTCCGCCCTGTGAAACCTGCCCATATCCCACCTGTTAGGGGACAACCTCGGCTCTGTGAAACCTGCCCATATCTCACCTGACAGGGGACAACCTCCGCCCTGTGAAACCTGCCCATATCCCACCTGACAGGGGACAACCTCTGCCCTGTGAAACCTGCCCATATCCTTCCTGACAGAGGACAACCTCCGCCCTGTGAAACCTGCCCATATCCCACCTGACAGGGGACAACCTCGGCCCTGTGAAACCTGCCCATATGCCACCTGTTAGGGGACACCTGACAATGCAGACAAGGGGTAAGCAGAGTCTCACTAGACAGGGGTTTTACTGCAGACCAAGGGTATTATAGAGAGGGTTCAATATAGACAGGGGTTTTATAAGGCAGGGGGTTATCATTATTGACAGGAGTCACTTTAGGCAGGGCATTACTATTATAGTACAGGAGGCAATTACTGGGAGGTTGTTACTATTATCAAATACAGTTTCCTGATCAATGTACTTTTAATGTAATAGTTTGAAAACTGATTATTTTTTGGTTATCATAATTCACAAATAATGCACATGAAATTTATAAATTTAGATAAACAGATATGCAACACAAGAGTTACTCCCCTTTGTTACTATAATGGTAGTGAGCATGGTAATTATGCAGTGTGTATGGAAAAATCTCGTCATGACAGAATAAATATCCACCATGTGTAGCTTCAATAGTCACCTTCTGTAACTCAGCTATCAATTATGTAGCTAAAATACCTACCAAAACATTACCAAATATCTATCATGTGTAGTTTAAATATTTACCAATGTAAAACTTAATATCCACATGTACATTTTATATATCAAAATCCTACAGTAGGTTTTACTAAAATATCCTCCTTGTGTTGTTAAAATATCCACCATAAGTAACTAAATAAAATACAAGCTGTGTAACTAAACCAGAATACTAAAAGGTCAGCCAGGGCCCCGCCATGTGCCTGACCGTATCCTCCACCCCCTCATCTCTACCCCTCCTCTCTACCCCCATGGTCTTAGTATTAGTAACTTTGACATTTAACCTTAAAATTGACTAGTAGTTCTATTGCATATCTACATATCACAGTGTATCACCATGTCAAATTTAAATAAGATTAGACTTTTGGATTCCGAAAAAAAGGACTGTCCAACCCCCCTGCCCCCCTATTTTTAGTAACAGTGACCTTGACCTTAGAATTTTGTAAACCCGTACTGCACATCTACATTTCACAGTGAATCACCATGTAAAATTTCAGAAAGAACAGTATTTTGGATTCAGAGATAATTGCAAGAAAAAAATATCTTCCAATATCTACAATATGTAACTAAAATATTACCACATCCTAGAAAAATATCCACTAAATATTACTAAAATATCCACCACATAAAATTGAAATATCTACCGGATGGAACAGAAATACACAATATGAAATTAGGCACATGAATGTTTTATAATTAGGAAGTGTTCAGGTCGTTTCATGGCCATTGGAAACCAATCATGTTGTTCCCTAAGGTCTGATTAGGCTTGATTGAACATTCTGAACGGCTCACAAAAGTCTAACAAAGCTTGAAGTAACTAAATAAAAGATACCAGAGTCTTGGCTCCTACTATTGGCAGATACAGGATGTTGCTGGTACGCAGGTCTTTTCTCTTCTCTGTTCTGTTCTTGAACAAGCACATGTACAGGTACCAAGGGGTTCATTGAACCAAGTTACAACATGATCTTTGAGGGGTTTGTTCTATGCAAGGTTTTCCGATCCATCCTAAATTGGATCATGCACAACTATAGACAAACTAGGTCGGACGCATAGAAAGTTTCACCATGATCCCTTGGTAATTTCAGAGAAACAGTCGTAACAGACTTCACATACTATCAAAATGTACAAGATGGTCTGGTGGCCATTTTGTTTCCCCTGAATCTCCTAAAATTTAAATGAGGAACAACAACAGATAAAGGGAATCCCGTATACCATGTTTTGTAATGATCTTTGCAGCAGTTCCGGAGAAATTGTGGTAATAACCTAAACATGGAAAATCCAAGATGGCCACTTGGTAGCCATCTTGCTTTTTTTTATCCATCTAAGTGATCATGCATTACAAGTTTCATAATGATCCATTAAGTAGTTTCTGAGAGAAGATACAACAAAAACTGTTCACAGACAGACTAGCTGAATATATGGTGAATGCTGGACCCAGACGAAAGGCAATTTGAGGAGCCCACGTACCATCTGATAATTATGGTGAGCTCAAAATGTAATCTGGATGCGCAAAATCAGGCTGTTCCATCAATTGTTTATTCATAGTCCCCACGTTTCAAGAGCCTTAAGATAAGAAAAGTGGAGCTGCTCAGGTGTTAATGTGAGAATTGTGATGCGTAATATTCAAAATTTAATAACATTCTCAATGGGATAAAACTATCTAAGTCAAAGGCTATGCACACTAAGACTGAGAATCACCCTTAATACTTGTAACTCTCTTTTTGTAATATTTTTTTTAAAAACTGGGGCCCCTTAGGTACATACAACTACTTGTACTGACTTACATAGGAAATAACAGGTACAGCATTTGACATAATAATCGCCCTATCCCATATAAGCACCCCTTTTTCTAATTCGCAAATCCTGTTCGTTCACTATTGTTTACCAGTTTACTTAAAAGGTGTCTTTTATGGCATTATGGCTATATCTGAGAAATTTGTTAAGTTTTGATAAATTGCTAAGCACAAATGGCACTTAGTCTTTGGTTGAAAACAATATCTGTTTTATATCTTAAATAGGCAAAGGTGTGGTGTTACATTCTCATGCCAAACAATATAGATTTATAAAATTCTGCTAACATTATGCACAGGAAAACAAAAATCATTTATGAAATATTATAAAATATAATGTATTATGAAAGTGCAACTTTTTACAAGCATCATACTGTGTCTTAAGAAAATGGACAGATGGTATATTGTTTTATAGTACATGAAAATCAAATCTGCCAATCGGACGGATTCTTATTATCAAAATGTTCACAACTAAAAGTAAATGCAGCCAATCTAGAAACACATATCACGAACTAAGAATGTCCATGATAAATGTACAAAGTTGGAAATGTCTGGTGTTTAACACATAAGTTAATTTGACTGAACTACTTAAACAAACATTTAGTTAAAATATCACTATCAAAATTATGATAAAGATTTAAAAACTAACCTATTTTGCTGTTAAAACAAACTAAAACTGTAATGCCCCTTACTTGACATTATGTCTCGGCCAATCAGAGGCCTGCTTAGCAGCCAACTTGAATCCAAAAATTAGATGTAAGCCTTTTTGATTATGTGGCATATCCCCATTGTATCACTCCAACAAAGTAATCAACAAGTCTCAGCCCCATGGAACTCCAGTTATATAACTGTTATTGTCTCAGCCAATCAGGGGCCATGGTGGCCATCTTGAATTCCCAAACTGAAAGGTTGGCCATTTGATGTAAAGTATATCCCCTATGAAATTTCCCGAAAGTTTTCTTGTAACTGGTCACAGATGGACGGAGACACAGAGAAGCTGAATCCCTCCCACCCCAACTAACTTCATTGCAGAGGGTAAAAATTAAAAAAA